GTGATCCCCTACCGTGACATTTAGTTTGTCACGCATTCATCTCAATAACTCTGGCGTTTTGCTGCTATTTGAGATCAATTGCCAATCAAATCGAAGAGAAACTGGAACCTAAATAGGACAAAATTGGAAAAACCAAAAACCACATCGGATACCAAAACTGAAAAACCGCTAGTATTTTTTTGCGAAACCCAAAAGCCAGATGTTAAAAAACGAAAAATCCACCCACCACAATGAACACCAAAACCGAAGTCTTCGGCACAAAAACCGAAAAACCGATCTAAAAATAGCCAAAACCGCAAAACCGAAAATCCCAATGCCCCCTGTCAGTATCTGGTCAACATACACTTCATTCTTCTGGGGGAAGGGGGAGTTTAGTATTGCATATAAAATGCCATTTGCATTGATACATATAAGCATTCAGTGCTGGTAAAATTTGGGTAAAAAAATTGTTGCAGATTGAATTTTTAGTGAATAAATGTGGGACAAAGTCTAAAAATATCAAAAAATACAGTCCGTGAGGAGGAAAAGTTCATTGTTTCATCTTGTATACAAAAGTACATACTCGATTCGCTAAGGTGACAATTAATCCTCGATCTGCTGCGTAGAAAACAGTAAAAAAATTTATACCTTTAAGTTCTGAATACGTTATTTTATTGCCTAGTTAGTAAAGTTCTTTCCTACCTGTGGCAGAACTTGCTTCTTGGTTACTCATACCACGGCTGAAAACAAACGAAACCGGACGAAGAGCTCTGCCATTCATCGTGTGAAGACCACTCGTTGGCGCCGTGAAAACTCTAGATTCCGATGCTCGGAGAAGAGACACAACTGAAGAACAACCTCTTGAAAGCATAATTCCTCCTCAGATTGGGCTAGATACACTGTAGTTATCCTAGAAAAATCGTTTTTAACGAGATATGTCGTGCAATTTGGCTAAGGTAGATAAATACTGCACGCCTCGTTCTGACGGTCGAGTGGTGGTATAAACAGTTAGCAATCATTAGTGATGCAAAAAGTTGCGTTGAAACAAGCTCGTTCCAAGGGTCTCTCTCTCCAAACGATGTTGGCGTTGCTGATACTTGGCACGTCGCAGTCGTCTGATGTACTAACGAAAAGTGATTAACGAAATTTGCTGGAATATTTCCAGTCGTGTTTACTACTTACAGCTACTTGTTTACATCCTCCGAGACCCAGGGTAGTAAAGGTGCCGATTTTACCCCCGTTTCCTTCTAATTCTCGCCCTGATCAGGGACTGTTTCTGGTCCCCAAGGATGTTCAATACGACTAGACCCGCCGGGAGAACTCGTCCGAGCTCCGCGCTCCCGGCATTTGACCCCTGAGAGATACCACTTTAGAGCAGACATGGCATGACAGCGTTTTTTTTTTCATTATTTCTTCGAGTACAACCCAAAAGGATACGTTGACGGCTAAAAATAGTAGCGTTTCTGGACACCCTAAGTGAGACAAAAATCCGTGATTTACATGCACCGCGAATAAGTGAGACGACGATTATCCTCGACCTTTTCATATGTGAGCCTCCCCAGTCCCCCCCCCCAAGGGGGGCCTGGACCTGGACTAACCTACTTAACCCCGATTTCTGTTTCGACATGTCTCTCTCTTACTACCTGTCATACCTTACTATGAAGAATTGCTGTTGTACACAGATGCGAGGGCTATGCAGATAATTTACACTCGTGCATGTATTTATTATCTCGCGTAGTGGAAAATCGTGACAGAGAGAAAAGAAAAAAAGGAAAAAAAAAACAGCCTTCGATTAGTCACTTTATAAACACGTCAGTTAGTTTGGGTGTTTATTGAAACAACGAAAATTGTGCATCAATGATTAAACCATATTATCACGAGTATTTTCAGCACGAATGAAACTGATTAAAGACTTAAATGAAACGTTACGCAAACAAATTGCAATTTCAGCTGCAGGCCAACTTTTTTTATAAGAAGCCGTAATATGTGCTAAGAATATATAATCCAATGTTCTTGCGTAATTTTAATTTTAAGTGATAATTTACAGTTAACATCAATTGTGTTTTTCAGCAGCAAATATTAAAGTTTACTTTGGCTTAGTGACTACATCACGTTGCACGCTCATTAGTCTCATTTCAGTACAATACGGTTTGAGGCAGGAGAATTCCAAACTTCTCTCGAACTCCCCATTTCTCGAACCAATTCATGGTCCCCTTGTGGGTTCGACAAATCAGGATCAATTATAGAAGTCAAACTGGGACTCAGATTAGAAGGAAACATTCGACGCCTCATAGCGGGAAGCTTATCATTAGCAAACCACAACTGCGACGCTAAAGAGATCGTCAATAAAGAAAGAGAAATGACCAAGTTCTTTTTTTCTGGGAGAACGTGAACCCCCACGGCTAATTTTCCGTGTTCTTTGTCATTACCTAATTCGGAAATTTTGAGTATGTTAACTCCGAACTTAGAATATAACCATACTGCTTCAAATTATGGAAATTTAAAACCGTTTGAGGTGTTCGTTTATTTAGAACGTCGAGAATTAGTTGGAATTGCTTAATTACCATTTTTTTTGAAGGACAGGTGTCATGCAATTGAGATCGTTATGAATTTCTTTAATTTGGCAGAAGAAAACATTGGATGATTTAAAAGTCTGTTAATTGATTAGCCCGCCCACAATATACAAAACCTGTTATTTAGTCCATTTTTCCCTTGAGCCAAAATCATCTGAGATGAGATCCACGATCGCACAATGAATTATATGACAGTTGCCTTAATGTTAGCAGGCTTGGCATTTTTAATTCATTTATTTCTTTTTTACTTCAGTGAATGTTTTAATATGTTTTCTTAGGTGTTTACTTGGAAGATGAAAAATTACGCCAGGACTGAAATGAGCTTTTAACGCCATGTGTGACTTTCGCACGTGCATCAATTAATGCAACGCACGTCACTGGCTGAGAAACGCTTTTACGAACTGTGTCGCGGGATTTGCCTTTTATTACAGATTCTGCTGCATTTGGCTTGCACCAGGAAAAAGAAACCTGTAAATTCTATAGATGCTTTGGATACTGCAGATGCTTTCAAACCTTGGGGTCGGAAACATTTTCATGGAATAACATCTCAGTGAGTCTTTTTGGAAGTAGTCAGTAACAGAAAGAAAAAGATACTCACAATTTACGGCTTACAAAATGAACGAAACCTCACAGAAAATTAATGGTAGTACCTGGTTTACACCTTTCATCTTCTGTTGGTTTGGCTCAATAAGCGTGACCATCGCCATTTTAAACGCGGGTATCTGCGTATTATTCTGGACACAGAGAAGACTTCGAAGCAAAAGCAACTTGTTTTTTGTCAATTTGGCCGTAGCTGATATTTTGGTTGGCTTCGTCGCGATACCATGGAAAATTTTCCACTTCGTCGTTTCTCCAGCACCGCCTTGGCACACTCCGTTGGTTACCGTGGTCGATTATACGGTATCGTTGTCTTTTCTAAGCATCTGCGCGTTAACGTACGACCGTTATCAAGCGATACTCTATCCGCTCAATTACCCGAGCAAGATGGCAGGCAAAAATATATGGAAAGTTCTGCTTTTGGTTTGGAGTCTGCCAGGTTTGAATTTTCTGAGGCTCATTTGGATGCTGTCGCCGCGAATTTCTCATAAACATTTCGACGGCGCTTTCAGCGCGTTTCTCTTCTCCGTTATGTTGCTGGCGACAGCTGGAATCGTTTTCGCCTATGTTCGTATTTTTCGAGCTGCCAAAGTTCAAGGACAGAATGCGAGGAAATCGAACAAGTTTGCAAAGAGAAACCAACGGGTAAAGTTTACCAAAGCGATCAGATCTTGTCTCGGCGTGACAATCTGTTTCGCGTGTTGCTGGTTGCCAAGAGGGACTTTTTTGATTGCAAGGATTTGCCAATCTAAAACTCAGTCCTTCGAATATGACCTGGTCACGTTTGGCTTAATGTCTCTATCTCCGGTCTTAAATCCTATTATCTATTCAATCTGCAACCGTGACGTTAGGAGAACGTTGGAAATGCTGTGGAACAGATGTCAACGAAACTCTCGATTGGACAAGGAAGGTTTTCGAAGCTCTCGGGCAAGTTCATTGAGAACCTTCACCATTGCCAGTAGCAGAGAAACTGGTATCGAGGTGTCAAATCATATCAATCTATGACATTCAAAAT